AACACCCTACTTAATGTAAAACATGGGGGTGGAAACATCATACTTGGGTCTGTTTTTCTTTGAAGGAACCAGGACGACTGATTTGTGTAAAGGAAAGAACGAATGGGGCCATGTATCGTCAGATTTTGAGTGAAAACCGCCTTTTATCAACAAGGGCATTGAAGATGAAATGTGGCTGGGTCTTTCAGCATCACACTGATCTCATACACAACGCCCGGCTAATGAAAGAATGGCTTTATAAGAAGCATGTCTAGGTCCTGGAGTGGCCTAGCCAGTCTCCAGATGTCAACCCCGTAAAAAATCAGTGGAGGTGGTTGAAAGTCCATGTTGCCTAGCAACGGCTCCAAAACATCACTGCACTAGAGATCTGCATGGAGGAATGAGACTACAGCTTACGAAAACCTTGTGAAGTATTGAGATGGATTTTTGTCATGACCATATACTTATTTTTCACCATTGTTTGCAAATCAATTTTTTAAAACTTAGACAATGTGATTTTCTGGAATCTTTTTTGTTTCGTTTTCTCTATCATGTTTGAGGTATGCCTATGAAAATTACAGGTCTCTGTCATCTTTTTAAGCGGGAGTTTGAGTGTGTGTAAGCACATACTGCGTATGTATAAGTACAAATTGAACAGTAAAAGCAGCATCCTAACTGCAGGGTTAGTCCCAGACTCCCAGTATTAACAGTAACAGATAAAATTAAAAGTCTTAAAATTTAAAACACCTGATTCTAAATTCTGACAGTTCCCAAATTTATTTTAAACAATCCATCCAGCCATCCATCCATTTTCAGCCACTTATCCAGAGTCGAGTCGCGGGGGCAGCAGCCTAAGCTGAGACGACCAGACTTCCCTCTCCCCAGCTACTTGGGCCAGCTCTTCTGGGGGAATCCCAAGGCGTTCCTTGGCCAGGTGAGAGACATAGTCCCTCCAACGTGTCCTGGGTCTTCCCTTGGGTCTCCTCCCATTTGGACATACCCTGAAAACTTCACCAGGAAGGCGTCCAGGGGGCATCCTGACCAGATGCCCGAGTCACCTCATCTGGCTCCTCTCGATATGGAGAAGCAGCGGGTCTACTCCAAGCCCCTCCCTGACGACCGAACTTCTCACCCTATCTCTAAGGGAGAGCCCAGCCACCCTGTGGAGAAAACAAATTTTGGCCGCTTGTATCCACAATCTCGTTCTTTTGGTCACTACCCAAAGCTCGTGACCATAGGTGAGGGTAGGAACGTAGATGGACCGGTAAATCAAGAACTTTGCCTTCTGGCTCAGCTCTCTCTTCACCACGACAGATCGGTACAGCGCCTGCATCACTGCATATGCAGTGTTGGGGTTATTAGGAAGCGAATAATTAGTAAGCTTTTACTTACTTTTGGATTCTTCAGTAAATTCAGTAAATATGGGAATATTTACCGAGTTATTAATTAATTAAGATACAATTAGGTATCTTCGGGGCACCTTCCCCTTTTTAACCGGGGAAAAATTTAATCCAAACTCTTATCAGTCTTTCTTGAAGTTCGTGGAATCCTAGGAGTAGAGATTTTCACACCAACACAAACAAGTCACTTGAGGCAAACTGAATTTTATAACATTTAATTCACAAAAGATTAATAATGTAAAACAATTTGATATAATCGAAGATGTGTGTGTTTCAACTGTGTGTGTGTGTGTGTGTGTGTGTGTGTGTGTGTGTGTGTGTGTGTGTGTGTGTGTGTGTGTGTGTGAATGGGGCTTTGTTTTCCCAGGTGCGCGGGGAGTGTGTGTCCTTGGGATGTGCTGTAAGCTGTGACAAAACTCTCTCAGATGCAGACAAAGGAATTAGCTTGCATTTAGTGGCTTAAAAATTACAGTGTAACTGAACTTAAACCCTTCAAAAGTTGACAAAACAACAAAGGTCACTCATAAATTATTTAATCTAAACAGAGTCGATGCAGCCTGGCCACAGCTGACCGACAAACCCAGATTAAATAAATAATAAACAAAAGATCTTACTTCACGGTAGATGTATGACGTGTTTGGTTAGGAAAAAGAGAAAAACCGGAGCTACTTTTAAGCAATAGCGCGGTGTTATTGCTTGTTTGTGAACTATAAGAAACGGGAAAGATAAGAGAGGAGGAGAGGAGATAAAATAAAGTCAAACTCTTGCGTGAGCGAACCAAAGGCGTCCCTTTGTTCTTTCGCGTTGCAGGTCAGATGATTTCTCCATTGTTTCTCCGCACGAGTGTTTCTCCAACTGGCTGGACACAAAGAGAGCAAAGTTTCGCTTTGTGCTGAGTTGATAACTTACAGCGTCTCTGTGAGCTTGATGGAGCTCCGCTCGTTTCCAGCCAGGTTCTGATGGTTTCGGAGTTGCTTTTCCAGCGGCTCGGTGTTTGCACTCTTCAGCCCCCAGGCCTCGTGCACACGTTATTCAGGCCGTAGTCAGCGATCGTGTCCTTCACGCCAGTTAAACTGGTACAAAAGAACAATAAGTTTCGTTTTCGTCTCCCTTTTATAGAGTCTGGCAGTTCGCGGGCTGAGACTGTTGTGAACCCGTGGTGCGCCTTGGCGGTGACGTCATCACATTGCTTCCGTGTGCAAAGCATCATGGGAAATGAAGTGTCTTGGCGCTGATGTGATTATTTGCTTTTTCAGAGCAATTTAACACAGTCTTTTGGAGAAAATCACTGCACAGTAATTTCCTCATGAGGTCAGACCCTCAACAGCAGCACCAATCAGTCTATCGATTTCAAACTCCATTTTTCCTTTACTCGTGAACAAGACCCAGAGATACGTAAACTCCTCCACTTAAGGCAGGACCTCGTCCCTGACCTGGAGGAGGCATTCTACCCTTTTTCTGTTTTAAGACCATGGTCTCAAATTTAAGCCGCTTCACACTCGGCTGCGAACCACTCCAGCGAAAACTAGAGATCACTGTCCGATGAAGCCAACATGACCACATCATCTGCAAAAAGCAGAGACTTTATCTTTAGTTATGAACAGAATCGGTGACTAAGAGCAGCCTTGGTGGAGTCCTGCCCTCACCTGAAACGAGCCTGACCTATTGCTGGCAATGTGGACCAAGCTCTTACACCAGTCATACAGGGACCTAACACCAGTCATACAGGGACCTAACAGCCCTTATCAAATGGCCCGGTACCCCATACTCCTGGAGTGCCCCCCACAGGGCCCCCGAGGGGATGCGGTCGAACTCCTTCTCCAAATCCACAAAATACATGTAGATTGGTTGGGCGAACTCCCACGCACCCTCCAAGATCCCCCTAAGGGTATAGAGCTGGTGAAAGTCTTTTTTCAGCAATGAATAGAAGCTTCTTTTGTACGTTCTTGCTGTGTTTGTCCTCAAATTCCATTTTTGGTTCTTTTTTAATCACAGATAAGGTTTTTATTTACCTTGCTGATGGTTTCGTTTGTGGCTGTAAACATCTTCAGAGCTGACACTGATGGTGGCATCACTTTTCCACTTTAAACCAATTTTTGGAGTTCATTGGACAACTGGCACTAATTGTTAAATTATAGGTTCTCTTTTGGTAGGAGATGATACAGTAGGGTTTGGTAAATTGAGTGCTTTAAGAGCTATATATATATATATATATATATATATATATATATATATATATATATATATATAACCTCTACTTATGACCAATAAGCTGTGATACTCTAAATATAGAATATCAACCTGCCTGGTCTTTATTGTGCTGTAATCAGAAGATTCTAGGATTCTTTATTTATTAGGGGATTGTAGACACTTTGTTTTGATTCAGAAAACAGTCAGGTTTATAAAAGTAAGAATTTATTTTGCAAACAAAACATGACAGGTTGGTTAACTAACATTTACTGTGATGGATGGAACTAAATGTGATGTATGAAACCTATGTGTGAATGCAATGTTAGTCAGAACTTCCGTATCTAGGAGAGCTGAATTCTGGATGTAAAAGAATTTGGTTTGCGTTAAGCTATGAGGTTGATTATTATCAAAAACACATCAGAAGTTATCTGTCATGTTTACATACCCTTTTTCAGAGACCCTCTTGGTGGATCCGAAGGTCAGAGAGGTTGGATGACTTCTGGCACTTTAAGGCTGTAGAATACCGTGGCACCGACCCTTCAGTCCAGAGATGTCTTGGGTCATGGCAGACGGATGGAACGCGTGTCTCTGGTGGACTCTTAAGGAATCTAAACAATATCAGCTTGTTCTGCAGGAAGTGTTTTGTATCAGCTTTGCAGGTGCAAAAAGGTTTTGATGACGTGTTAAAGGCTTTGGTGGTTAAAGAGGTGTGCTACAGCTGGCCAGTCTGGAGCTTCTCTAGAACTGAGGGAAAATTCGAGTAATCTGGTTTTAATCTTCTCATGTTATGATTGTGTAGCCAACCAGAGGTTGACAAGTTTGAGGATTATTACCAAGCATCTCAGAAACACACCTTCTTTTATCCGGATGCTCTGATCTGGAGTAAAGGCTATTTATGTGTCATGGGCTTAACTTTACCTTACTTTGTTCTTGTGTGAGTGCAAATGTTATGACCTGGTCAAGTAAACATGCAATCAATCATTAAGCACAGATTAATGAAACATTTCATTATTTTATAATTATTATAAGTAGCAATAAACAAACGTTTATTTAATGATTATCTAGCTTATAAGTTTTAGAAGTTCATATTTAATTTTAAAATCTTCTTTCTTCTTTCTTCTGTGAAGCAAAGAGTCTTAGATAAGAGGGTGCTCTGTGACGGACCTTGAGGAGAGAATGTTATTGTAATGATTCCAGGATGTCAACAAGCAGAGCAGGATCTTGTGGCTTGTTGGCAGATAGAATATAAAATCCACCTCATTAGATGGAATTAGGTCTGTAGATGACCGATGACCCATAGGTCATCTGTAGGTGAAACTGACCATTTGTGGATATTACAATACAAAATAAACATGATGCTAAAAACTTTGTCACTTTATGTATGCAGCCTGCGTTTCACCCGTTCCACCGCCTGGTGACGATAATGCGCCAAAATATGCTTTTAAGCTACCAGAAGAAGAAGGCAATGGTATTAGATAGCGGCGCCGTTGTGGACTGGAATGGGACCTCTCTATTTCACCGATATTTTGATAGTTTAATCCATGAATGGCGCCGAAACAGGACCCGAAACCTAAATTTCAAGAAGGTAAATATGTGTTTAATATTTTGTTGTATTTATCACTACGGATGCTCCATAGAAGGCTTGAAGGGTTCAAGATGTTAGCTGGAGTAGCGATGCAGTGTAGCGGCTAGCGGTGTTAGCTTTTATTGTTATGATGAGAAGTCGAAATTAAACAGTTTTTTAAATGTTATTGGCCACTTCGAGTGTTTATTGTGTCTTGTATTTAATATACAATTAGTCAATTTTATGTTTTTTATTTGTAATACGTACATTTTGTGCTGTTTCAATAGGACTACACCAGTTACCGTTTTTGTTGAGCTAACTGCTAGCAGAGTCCAGGCGATATCTTACCGGTGTTATTGGTTTAATCAGCAAATTGATAGCATTACGGGATTTTAGCAGTACATTTTAACGGGCAAGCAAAATTCAGTTTTTCTTGAACATGAATAAAAACATTTGGTGCAATGAAATGTGCAGTTTTTTTGCAACAGATCATGGATACTTAAATATTTTATGCTGTTCTGTTTTGGAGTTCATGTGGTCAATCTCAAGCTGATTTGAAATCCTTCCCTTTCTGTGCTCAGGTGAAAGAGTGCTGTGTTTTCATGGGCCATTGCTCTACGAAGCTAAGGTAGCTTGTCTCACATCATGCTATTTTCTGATGTTTCTGATACATTTATGACTTGAAATTATGCTTGTCTTTGCAGTGTGTTAAAATAAGCATCAAGGACAAACAAATCAAATACTTTATTCATTATAGTGGTTGGAATAAAAAGTAAGTCTTCAACTTTAGGGGTAAATGTTTGTATATTTATTTATTTAGTTAGTTTTCTTAAACACTTTAATTCTTAAGAGTCATTTTCTCTTCCAGCTGGGACGAATGGGTTCCTGAAAGCCGGGTGCTGAAGTATGTGGACAGTAATCTTCAGAAACAGAAAGAGCTTCAGAGGGCCAATCAGTAAGTCCAGTAATGTAAATATTACATCTACTCATTGGATTTGATCAATCATAGTTTCTGTCACAAAATATTTTTACAAATGCTGACTAATCACATTTGTGTAATTGGCTTTTATTTGTCTCCGCGTAGAGACCATTATGTAGAAGGGAGAATGAGGGGTGCCGCACCGAATAAGAAGATCCCTGCTGCATCGCAGAAAAACGATGTGTAAGTGTCCTTTATTTTTCTGTCATTTTTTCTTTATTAAACAACTTTTTAAATTATTTATTGTTTTTATTTTAGAAAATCTAAAAAGAACAAACAGAAAGGTGAGTATATTTTCACACTTTATTGTTAAAACACATGCTACTTTCAACATAGTCTCTCTGGTGTTTACTTTTCCATTTTAGCCACATAAGGGTCACAAAAAAGGTGCGTAGAGTAATTATGTTTATCTGCGTAGCTCCTGGAGCAGGAGAAGGAACAAGTACAGGGGGAGACCCGACCCATCCTCCACGAAAGAAGAGGGCACGTGTTGACCCTACGGTAGAAAGTGTAAGTTATAAACTCTACTGACTTAGCCGCACTTTTAGGGTTTTACTTATTAGGGTTAATAAATGTTCACCTTTGTTTTTGAATGGAAGCTTAATCTATTGGTTCTGAATATGTTTGTGAGGCTGGGACAGCAGTAAGCAAACATAATGAGAAAAGGTTTTGTTTTCTCTGTGCTTAGGAGGAAACTTTTATAAATCGAGTTGAGGTTAAAGTGAAAATCCCAGAGGAGCTGAAACCGTGGCTTGTGGATGACTGGGACCTAATTACACGACAAAAACAGGTAACATCTTAAAATAACCCATATTCAAACCATTTTATTTTATTACACTGACACATGTGCCTTAAGTGCAGATAAGCTCACAGTATCGATGTTTTAATTTTGTTTTCAGCTTTTTCACCTACCAGCCAAAAAGAATGTTGACGCTGTTCTTGAAGATTATGCAAACTACAAAAAATCAAGAGGGAACTCTGACAGCAAGTAAAAACACATTTTCTAGTTTACTATGAATTTTTACCTATAAAATTACTGTCATGAATATGTTCCTTCTTCAATGGTGTCATGCTGTGGTCATCTCTTCTTCAGAGAGTTTGCTGTAAACGAAGTGGTTGCTGGTGTCCGTGAATATTTCAACGTTATGCTGGGGACACAACTTCTCTACAAATTTGAGAGGCCTCAGTACGCAGACATCCTGGCCAATCATCCTGACACGCCGATGTCTCAGATCTACGGTGCTTCTCACCTCCTCAGACTCTTTGGTAAAAAAAACATCATCACAAGGATATTGTGTTGTTTTTAACAAAGTGTGGTGGGTTGGAGCCGCTTAATTATGAACAGTGTTGGGCAAGTTACTTCAAAACTGTAATGCATTATTCATTACTTGTTACCCTCATTTTAAATTAATTCATTACATTACAATATTACTGATTTTAAAATGTAAGGCATTACACTACTTTTTGCATTATTTTAAGTTACTTTCACCAAAACAACTTCAATATGAATCTGGTAATGTGACGCTCAGTGAGCTCATGACATATATGCAGTAGCGGTTTTAGGCACGGGCAGACAGGGCAATTGCCCGGGGCGGCATTTTTTCATGACACAAAAGGGGCGCACAAGCGCTGAGTAAAAAAAAAAAAAAAAAAAAAAGGGAAATCTGCGCCGCACCGAGGTTTTCTATTATCTGTCATATGACAGTGTCTGGATTGGAAACAGCAAGTTGGCGCCCCCTGCAGCTGCAGGCGCTCCTGCTGACTGAGAACGTTCACGTGCTCCGTGTGTCTATGAAGAACAGGAAGGGGAGGGGTGCGGCGGGGGAATTCACCTCTGCGTCTTTCCCAAATGAAATGAGCGCAAAATGAGCGTGCAGGGGCTGAATCAACTGTATTAACATGGCTAAAGTCAATCACATCTTAACGTTCTTCCATATTTCATTCATAATATCATAAACACAGGCCTATCATTTCTCTGAATTGCGTGAAATGGCCGAATAAAAAAAGGAAAAACAAAACGATTTTGTGGTCACCCCCCCATCAAGGTCAAATAGTTTAGTCCTGACTAAAGGAAACTTACTGAGTCAGGAGCCAAACAGAAGAGATGAACATAAAAAGGCTAAAACCACCAGGTGCCCCATTCAGGGGGAAAAAAAAGAAAAAAGAGGAGAAAGATAAAGGTATGCTCTCATGATGCATGTTGCATGATGCATGTTTAACGGTTAAATGCGGTCAACTAGTTGCTAACAGAGCTAATAGGGCTGAAATATTGAAACGAAATTCAAATGGTTCGAAAAAAGTCCTTGAATCGTTTTTTACTGATTCAAACTAGGATTTGTTAAATGCTCACTGCAGCCTGTGGCCTGCCTGAACAACAACAAACACATGTTGATCATGTTCACATAATAATAAATAAAACAACTCTACAAGCAGAAGAAAACTCCCCAGTCACCACTAACTCTCCTGTTTATTTATTGCAGATGGCTGCACTGATTATTTTTACATGATTTGTTCTGTAAATGTTGGCATTTTTGGTAGTCTACAGTTTTTTTATGTCAGTTTAATTACAATTTCAGAGGCAATTCTAAAATATTATGGATCATGAGATCTATTGGAGATCTACCCCAACTTTTGGACTGCTCTGCCATTCACTGTGGCTCAAGCTGAGAGGAGCTTTTCAAAACTTGATCAAGTCATACCTGAGGTCACCTATGTTTCAGGGGCGGCTCACTAACCTGGCTCTGATTAGTATCAATCACTCAGTAGGGGAGCAGATTTCATGTGATGATATTATTGATGACGTTGCATCAAGGTTAGGTTTTAATTTTTAGTTTGTGTTTTCTGTTCTAAGTGCAATGCAGTGATTATCTTTAGTTTGTTATGTGTGAAATATTTTTGCTATTTAGAATATTTATTATCTATTATGTTCATATATTCTTAATATTTAGTTATTGTTTGTTTTTGTATATTTGATTCTATATATTTTGATACAGTATATAATGTATAGTGCTTTACATTCTGACAACTTCATAGTAATTAATGTAAATATGTGCAACTTAGAAAAATGAATGTTCAATAGTCGTTCTAATAAAACATGCCTGTTTGTAGAAAACATGCGTGTGTTCGTGCAGGTGGGGTGGTGTGGTGGTGGTGGGGGGGCAGTGGGGGGGGGGGGGCGCTCAAAGGGGGCCTCACCCGGGGAGTAATTCGATGTAGAACCGCCACTGCATATATGTGGAAAGTGATGTGGTATCTGAGCTAGGATTGCTGTTAAAAACAGTCAGATATAATAACAGTGCTTTAAAATGATTGTTTATTAAATAAAAGCAACAACAATCTGTACTCTCAACATGCTGCCTTCTTATATTAACTGAGCAGGGAGTGAGGTGGTGGGGGCTCCATGCCTATATTTGCCTTGGTCCCCAAATGCCTTGATACGGCCCTGGATGTGGGACTGACTTCTGGGGTGATCTGATTCTATCACATGTATAAATATTAAATGCTTACATATTATTGCTTTTCACTGGTAAAAATGTGTATTGGGGATAAATCTACCTAATTTTTTCTTTTTTTCTTGATTTTATTTGAATATTTTCCTGCCCTTTCTCTCTAACCTTCCTGCATGCTGCATGTTTTCTCCGTCTTCCAGAAAAAACTGTAAACTAGATTTCCTACTTTCTAACGATCAGCCAAAGGGATCTTCACATGCGCGGCGCTCCAGCAGTAATGAGTTGAAATCACCGGGGCACAGATTACGAACTCAGCTGAGGCAAAGCATGTCAGAAAAGCACAAAATACCAGAGAATATGCGCTGATATGAACAATCGCAAGTGAATTATTTTGTTTTAGTGGAGCGATTTTGTTAATGTTACAGCGGCCGCGTGCAGGAAGCAGTTGAGCCGTTACCGTGGCGTCCTCTCTGCCCGCAAAGCTGAGTCCATAAATGACGTAATATATGCAGATACTGGATCTTTCTTCGGGTTTCCCACAATTTGAATTTTTAAGAAACGCAGCTTGATTCTGGGTTTAAAAATGCGTTGTAATTACCGCGTTACTGACAACTGTACCGAGTAAATATTACCATTTTCTTTCCCTGTAATGCCTTACATTACCACATTACAGCAAAAAGCAATGCATTACAGTAATTAATTACTTTTGTACCGCATTACTCCCAACACTGATTATGAAATATGTCCATATGGCTGAAGCTGCAGCTTTAATGCTGTAATCTTTTTTAACAAGATAGAAATAAAGTTGGGCACAAGGCTAGCGCAGCTCGGTCTGTGTACGACGAAACATCAGGTAGTGAGTGACTCGTCATAAAAATGAGATATTGTTGTTGTGTAGAAGATCTTTGATTATAAGACCCCTGCAAATGTAAACAACAAATATGCACGAAATATTGTCTTTAATTTACAGCTGAGACTCATTTTTACTCTTAAAGGAACGCGTTTTGTAACAAACAAAAATAAATTAGAATGTGATTTACGTAAATAACTGACACTGAAGTAGATAAAAAGGGAAATATTCTTGGGAACATCAACCAGGACATTGTTAGTACTAAGAAAGAAAACTGAAATTTTAGCCTTGTGTTGCTTTAAACTGTTTCCTACCTGGATAATGTGTGAACATCAAACAACAAAGCCATTGTTCTCACAGCGAGTAACAGCGAGCCTTTGTTTGTTTTTTACAGTGAGGATTGGAGCCATGCTGGCGTACACTCCTCTGGACGAGAAGAGCCTTGCACTATTGCTCAGTTATCTACAAGACTTTCTCAAGTAAATATAACAAATATTTTTAAAAGGCAGAATCTGCAGCAGAAATTAACTTTGTCTCTTTTCTTTGCAGATATCTTGTTAAGAACTCTGTGTCACTCTTCAATGCAAGTGACTACGAAGTAGCTCCTCCAGAGTATCACCGCAAGGCAGTCTAAGTTGTAGTTTTTGTTAGTTAATTATTATTATTATTATTTTGTTTATTTTAATATCTAAGGCCTTTGTGCATTCAGGTTTGGACAAGATTCTTTTTATTTTATTTTATTTTTTGTCAGAAGGATGTGATTTGACCAAAACACCTTTGAGGAACTGATTTAGGGAACCCTACGAGGAAGATCCAGAGCAAGATGTTTAAGTAGTTTTTGGACTTTTTCTTTCAAGAGGAAAGCTGCTGAGTACACTTTTTCTGTGTTGGTATATTTTTGAGTACCACTTTCTATGTTTCCTTGATATATATATTTTTTCTTTTTTGTCTAACGTTAACCAGCATCGTCTCAGAAAGGGACTTAATCAAGATTACTTCAGTTTCCCGACTTGATACTGATAAAATGTGTCTCAAGCTGTTATTTTCTAATAAAAGCCTTTTTATTCTGTAGTTATTGGTTTGTTTTCAGTTTGAAGCTAAAGCAACTTCAGGGTTTGCATCAATTATCCTCAATAATTGAGGTAATAGCAGAATGAAACAGATTTTTCTTGTCATTTATCGGTCAGTCATAATCCTAACCCAATTTTTTTCCTGAGTGACTTAAATCTTATCCTCTCGCACCAACTCACATGCTCAAAGGCTACCATCCTACAATTAAACTTTTAGATAGAAAAATACTTTAAAAATTCCAGACAAAAGCCTTTAAAGGGACAATTTGACACCTTTTCATATTTTAAAATCATTTACTTGTGCCAGTATGCAGAGCCGGCCCAAGGCACAGGCGACCTAGGGAAACCTGTTTAGGGCCCCACAAAGGCTTGAGCCGACCCTGCCAGTATGTGTTAAAATGACCCTGTACAGGGTTAATGAAAGTCCACCCAGCCCCTATCGCCCCCTGTGGCCAGAATATTGCACTTGCAACATCGCAAAACATCACTGTTGCTGGTCTGGTCTACTGGTACTTAGAAATAATTGAGCTGACCTACCTGATGCTGCCGTCTGGCTTCAGTACATTTCCTGCATGCTTTAGATCAGTGGTTCCCAACCTTTTTCCCAAGGGACCCCTTTTTTACCAGTGAAATTTTTGACGACCCCCTCCTATTCTCTCTTCCAGTACAAACAGTATTAAGAAATGATAAAATTGTTCAAGCACATTTTAATATGCTTTGATTCAATAGATAACAGTAATAGTAGGCTCCAGTACAGAACAAAGTCATTAACAAAACCAAACAGAGCATAATGTGCTTAACAGTTTGTATTACTTTTCTGAAAACATTGTTTCTTGTAAACACTGATAAATCAATCATTCCTTTCAATAAACATTTGACACATAAAAAGTACACTGAGCAAAATGTACTTAAATGTGTATATTACTGTTTATACTAGATTATTTACTGTAAAGGCTGGGATTAATCAACCAGTCCTATCTTTAATGAACTTTTGACACTTGAAAATAAAACAGTGAGCTGAGCAAAATGTTCTTAAAAGTGTGTTACTTTTTCTGTTCTAATTATTTCCTGTCTTAATATCAGTAAACTTTTCACTCATGAAAAAAATGTGAGCAAAATGCAGGCTATTAACAAGTAATAAATGAAGTTTTAACCCCTTAAAGTGGAGAGGTCCTGGCGACCCACTGAGAGGCTTTGGCGCCCCCTTGTGGGGGTCGGGACCCCCAGGTTAGGAACCAATGCTTTAGATAATGAACATTGCTCATTTGTTTATTTTAGTGGTGAATCACTCCTCTAGATGCTTAGGAACGCTGGGAGATGTTCCAGCTGTTAGATTAAGGTGTTAAGACGAAGGCACAGCGAGGAGATAGTTTTGCTTCTACAAATGGACACAAGGGGGTGCTAAGAGGAAGCAAAACTTCTTATTATCCCTTTAAATAAGGGAAAGACATGTTGCAGACATCATTGAGACAAACTCCAATAATCCTAAGATTCTCTACAAAACGCTAAACTCAGTTCTGGTGTATCAGGAGCCTAGCTCCATGTCTCCTACAGCCAGGGCTGGACTGGGACAAAAATTCAGCCCGAGCATTTTGACTGGAGACCGGCCCATCACCTGTTTTTTTTTGAAAAGACATTAATCCTTATGCTGTTTCTGACACACACCAACGTACACTTTCTTATTGGTAGTATTTATGTATCAATCTAATAAACGTAAACCTACACCATCCTTCCTATCCTGGTATTCTAAAAAGTAGGGTTGGGGGTAACTGATTATTTTTAAAATGATTATTCTGACGATTATTTTATCGAATAGTCGACTATTCTAATGACTATTTAGATGATTAATCTAGCGATTACTTTTCTATTGCACAATTAATAAAAACCAAAAAATTCTCAAATAAATTCCTCCAAAAAATTGATAAGTTGTTACTGTAAGAGAATAAACACTACAGGCCTTCCATTTTGTATAACACTGCTTTTATTGTGTTGCGGTTGGTTATGTTCTGGTGACGTGTAGAACTTGGGAGTGCAGGCTGCTGCCTGAGAGGTGGTTGGAGACGGAGTGTCTCCATGCTGCTTTGTTTTGTTCACTTATGTGCATGAGGCAAGTGGTGTTACGACCCTTCCTGGGGAGTCACGTGTTTCTCCTATTTTAACTGTAAATCCTTCTAGCTGTTATATTTATAACAAGAAACAGATATTCGGACAGAATATTTTCACGTTTATTCGAATATGATTGTGGAACACACCCAGCATCATAATACATGAAGTAATATTTATGCCAATTTAAGCCTTTATGGGTGACCAGAACTCTGTGTTTATGAATGTGGAAGACACCCAGCATCCTGTGATGGCACTAATAACATCAAGAGATAATAAATAAGGTAATATTTAGGTCAATTTAACCCTTTACACGTGACCAGGACACTGTAATCAATTTTTGGCAAGGGAAATGATCATTTGTTGCCATTTTTGAGGTGTTTATGAATGTGAAAGACACCGGCATCCTGTGATGGCACTAATAACATCAAGAGATAATAAATAAAGTAATATTTAGGTAAATGTAACCCTTTACAGGTGACCAGGACACTGTAATCAATTTTTGGCAAGGGAAATTATCTTCTTTTTTTTTTTTCTTTTTTTTTTGCCATTTTTGGGGTGTTTTTGATGACACAGTAGGCAGTATGAGTACAGTAACGTCAACAGATAATACATAAAACCCTTATTTGGTCAATTTTAGCCTCCATGAAAATCTTAGCGATTCAATGACTTTTTGGCAAGTTTGTCTACAATTAAATCATCAATAAAGAATTTAAAGATATTTTGAGGCATTTCTTATAGGTAAACGGGAGGGTGTAGTCTATTTGGCAAGTGACAATCTTGATTTTATGTGCTGAAGTGCTTTTATCTTGTTACTTTTAAATAGAGCAACGTAATGAATAGCAACCTACACAGTGTCATTGTAAAGCCAAAGCTTGATCATTTTAAATACTTTTTTTCAAGTAAAAATGTGCCCCAAACTAGTTAACTGTGGCTCCATGTCAAGTGGACTAAAGAAAGGAAGGGGGGAAAATTAAATCGCTGGAGAATTGTTTATTTCCATTTATACAACGTTTACATTCAACACAGGGTGCCATTTTACATTGTTTATTTATTTTTTTAGTATCAAGGCTGTAACATAAAGAAAGCCAGTTCTTACCACAAAGTTTGTGGCACAAACCATCTTTCAATCGCAAATATTGCAAAAAGGATTAATATATCCTCATTGTGAACGTTTAAGACAAATAGCAACACTTAAAACAACTTCCGAACTGGAAAAACTAATGTGGCAAGGTGCAAAGAGGAGTGCCCGGGCGGGATTCGATCCCCAGACTCCCGGGTGAAAGTCACACGCTCTAACCAGTTAGCCAAAGGGACATCTCTTTAGCCGAATAGCCAGGGCGCACAATCTATCGGGACATTGTGGATGCTCACACTTCCACATCTTCCTCCCTCTTTCCACAAGCACGTCCTCGTGCTCCCGCGCAGGGTGCCACAAACACTGCCACACTAATATCCGCGATAAACATCTGTTTAAGTCCCGGAAGAGGTTATCTTTGCTTTCTGAATGTCCATATTGCTAGATATGCTGAGTTTTAGGGCGAAATCCTGGGGAATTTTGTCTAGAAATGCAATTGCCTAAGCGTGCGCGATCCCGCGGTGGCTAATCATTTTTTGGCAGCGAGTCAATTTATGGCACAACACCGGCTCGGGTTTCTCCTCCTCCTCCCTCTTTTCTTCTCCAACCTGTCGCTGGGCTGAGGCTCCATCACTTCCTAAATTGATTTTACTTGAACCTTCACTACCAAACAACTGTGAGATTTTAACACATGTGCCAGCATCAGCCTGAAGGGCCAGTTTCTTTTTTAGTCGAATTTTCTCCGCTTCTCCTTTCCGTTTTTTGTTCTCCATTTTGTTAAGCTCGTCTGTCTGTTTACTGAGATTCACAAACAACTGGCGGGTGCATCAGACCTCTGGCTATTGGTCCAGCCCAGAGTGTATTATTACCAATTGGCCAATCCACCAACTTTTACGAGGCGTCGCGTGGGGCGGCGCGGGCAAGTTGTCCGCAACAACTAGAGGCCAGGAAAAAAAAAAAAAAAAAAAAAAAAAACAGACACCGGCCCATAAAAGATGAAAGGGTCGGCCCAGCGGGCAGTTGCCCGCTATGCCCTATGGTCAGTCCAGCACTGCCTACAGCTGCTGGAAACTCTGAAGATTTTCACAGATTCTTTGTTGATAAAGTGTCGGGCATTAGAGCAGTCATTTCAGGTAACTCTGTTGACCCTGTTCCAGTTCATCCGTCACCACCATAGACTGTACATATACCCACCCTGGTATATCTGGGGTCATCACCCACCCTGAGCTCCCTCAATACAGTTTCATACTCTGAGCTGAGTAAGCTAGTTGCGAGACAGAAGCCATCTGGCTCTCCACTTGACGTTCTGCCACCTCGTCTCTGGAAGGCTGCCTTTCCGTGTCTTAGCCCATCACTTGGTCAGATTATCAATGGGAGCCTCAGCACAGGTGTTGTCCCAGCTGCTTTGAAAGCAGCAGTTATTCGGCCGACCCTGAAGAAACCTGGTGCTGATGTCTTTGTGATAGAAAATTACAGGCCTATCTCTACCCTGCCCTTTACATCTAAACTGCTTGAGAAAGTCGTTTATCAGCAGCTGGTCTCACATTTAGCTGACTCTGATCTGTTTGAGGTTTTCCAATCAGGGTTCAGGTCTGGCCATAGCACAGAGTCTGCTCTACTGAGGGTCCTAAATGGCATCTATCTATCACTAGATCAGGGTACATCTGTGCTGCTTCTGTTGTTAGACCTAACAGCAGCCTTCGACACAGTTGACCACGTGATTCTACTCGATCGCTTGGAACGATGGGTTGGGATCAAAGGGTCTGCTCTGGATTGGTTTAGATCGTATCTCCAAAACAGAACATTCTGTGTTAAACTGG